TATATATATATATATATGAATATACTGTTTTATACAAAATGTTTTTATTTCCTTAACTTTTAGTATCGTGAGAGTATGATAGGAAAGTTCTCAGTGACCAAATAATCATCTTCAAACACAACGATAAGATTTACTTCAAATTCTGGAAAAATATTAAATTATAACCCTGTAATTCACATTTTTGTTTTAATGCATAATATTCTTACCAACTTTGAAGTTGCTTGTGCTTAAAGTGGGGCATGTAAATAATCTTGGAAATATCATGTAGATTGGAATAGCAAGATTTGTGCAAGCATTGCCCTCCCCGATTTGTATATTTTGTATCTCCGTCGCTACAAAAATACAATCTTATAAATCTTGATTTATTAACAATTATTGCAACGTATCCATTTTTACATGGATTCGCCGCACAATTATTTTTTTTACCATCTCTAGAGTATCCTTCCGCACATCCACAAGTTTCCACCCTCACTAACTGTAATTCTATAGACTTTATAACAGCCTCACATTGTTCGATCACTACCTGTACGTACAAATAATAGATAAAAATGCAATATTCTGATATTAATAAATGGAAAAAAGTTACATACTTCTCCTGTCAAGGGTTCAGAGAGTTTGCAATACAAAGAGTCTAATCTTCCCGCAATGCAAAATCTTGTTACATTAGGCCTGTCCCGACTATTTTGCAGAGACTCTGGCATTATTTTGAAGAACACGATCTTACTATGATCCTTCTCCACTTTAGCACTTGCTTTATCCTCGACTATAAACTCCAATGACTTGCTGACATCTTTTGCGAGGAAACTTCTTTTTATATCACAGCGTATCAGGTATTGTATATTCACAAAAACACCATGATACGTTTCGTAAAGAGATTTGTTTCCTCTTGGCTTTAATGGCAATTCAAATGGTATTTCTGTCTTACCACTGGGAATCTTTCCAGATGGAGCAACATCTAGTGTATATTGTACTAATTGTATCGGCTGAAAATAATTATAATTTATGCAATAAAAAATTAGTCTCTGCTATATTTACATTAAGAGAAAAAAACAAAAATTAAAATTAAAATAAGTAATTCAACAGTTCCCTCATATCAATATTTATATATACATCAAAGTACTTACTTTAACGGAATTATAAAATGCTTCGAAAATGCCGACGTTCTTCGAACTAAGCTGCAAATTCACCGAGCCTTCCATAGTGAGAAATATACCATCGTGCTTCACGTCTGAATTAGTTTTTAACTGTATCAGGCCAGCAACTACCTCCTGCAATATATAACCTCAATTTTCATTTCAAATATCCACAATTTAACAAGAAAATAAAAAACTAAAATAAAAAACCAACCCCTTCGTGATATATTTTACTCGCGCGTTTCAATTTTATGTCTATATTGATAGACATTTTGCGGATGATCCCTTTTTTTTGACACTTGTCAAAGAATACCAAAGGTATCAACTCATCTGTTACGAGAAATTACACGCCGTTAAGTGATTAATCAATATATATATCAATTCCATATATTTTATTCCATATGTTCAATGCCAAAAAGAAGATAAATAATCACTGCTGAACCATATATGTACACGAGTCTTGAAAATTTCGAAAAGCATCAAATCGATATGAATCGTGACTTACGATCAGCTGTTCGTAGACAAGCTGATAAGTTATGAGGGTGTGAGAGTGACAGCTATGCGAGTCAAGACGTCTGTCTCGCTTTGTAAATAATATAATA